AGATGTGCGGGCACAGCTCGCCTGCTCCCTGGAGCCAGGCTCTGGGTTGGTGCGTTCTCCTCCCCAGATTCGGCTTGGCCTGTTTGAGCAGTTGGGAGAACCTTGCAGGGTTGCTGATGCCACGGGATGGCCAAGTCATTTCTAGATCGTTTTGCTTTACATTCCCTGTGTTGAAGCAGACTCGTCAGCTATTATTCTTCTGCCTGATTTTTCTACGACTATGTTGCCATGGTTCCTCCTAGGACTAGCCAAGCCATCTTTAGTTACTGTTCAGGTGGAAGACACTTGTTTCTAGAAAGACTTAGCTTGAATATTTACAACTGCTTTCAAGATCTGCCCATGTGGAAGTACATCCAACTTTTCTCATCAAACTTGTGTTGAAAATGTTATTATTATTTTTTTAGTCCGCATGAGGCTGTCATTGGCTTCCTCCTTTGCAGACACCTGTGACTGTCCCAGGAAGATTGAAAGATGATAGAGTGGGACTAAGTCATCGAAAAAAAAAATCAGGCCTTTTGGCCAAGGCCAGGTGGATCGTGCTGTGTTCTGTTTTGGTCTGAAATGCCTCATATCTCTGCACCTGAATATTTTGGCTGGGCTGAGGGCTGCTTTGGTGGAGAGTCTCTCTCTGGGACCTATGACTGTCACTTTGCCTTCTTGTCACCACCACACTGCTCTCATCAAAACCAGGTGCTGGTTTCAGAAGGGCCTGTCTCCTCTCGGGAAGGTGCTGCTCGCTGCCCTCCTGCAGGAGGTCATAGCAGTGGCAAATCCGTGGAGGATTAGAAGAGCTTCCTCCCCAGGGCCAAACCTTTTTTCACTTTCTGAATGTGTTACCTCCACTGAGCCAAAGCCTTTACCTTTCTTCCACTCCCATTTGGTTTTTTCAAAGCTAGAGAGCCACCAGAGACAGAATTGACAGGAGGTGATGTTGGACATCTTGAGTTTAAGGCTTGGGGGTGTGATACCCCAGAACAGCCAAGTACCTGCCAGAGAAGTTGTCTCCTGTGGTGCCTTGGGAAGGATGCAGCTAGAGAGCAAGTGTCACTGCTTTGGGGATCCCCTCTTTTTTCCTTGATGTTTTTGACCCTTGTGGCTAAACACAAGGAGAGACATCACTCCTCAGAATTAACAAACCTTGAACTTCTAACCTCACATGTTGGATAACTGAAGCCTGGACCAGCAAGTTAAATTGTTCCCTGGGAGAGAGCCTTGACCACTAAGCTAAACAGTTTTCTAGTAAAGTGATCTGCTGCTTTGGCTATGTTTAAAGAATTGAAACAAATATTTATTTAAGGGGGGGGAAGAGAATAGGGAGAAAGACAATTCACCCAGCAAAAACGCCTTTGTTAAAGTACAGATATGACCATAGATTATTTCCACACCCTATTAAAAATGAATTTAGGGGCGTTTCTGACTCTTTAAGTGCCATTTTCCACCCACTTCTATATCCACTTCTTGGGTAGTTGACCTGCTTCATCCCTACCAACCATCAGGGATTGGCTGGAGATGGCACCTCCATTCCTTTCCCCCTGGAGGGGCCCAAATGCCCTGTTCCCAAATATCCCTGTACCCCCATTCTTTGCAACACCACACCCCTGGCGCCGTATCCCCTCGGCTCCCTCACAACCCGCCTCAGCCCAGGCCTGCTGCCTCCCTCGGGGGTGGGTGGAGGCAAGATGGCGCCTTTTTCTCACCAGAAGCAGGGCTGGGACCGGGACAAAGTCGGTGCAGGAGGGGTCTCGCTGTGGGACCTTACTCCTTGAGGCGTGAACCCCTTGTGCCTGAGGGTGGTTTGCCTGTGAGGGCCTGCGGGAGGGCACCCGC